TGGGGGTTGTACATAAACAATGAATCTTGGAACACTGCATCAAAAACTAATGTATTTTATGGTGACTAACATAACACAATAAAAAAGATGATCATTAAATCTCAGCATAATGAGTTAGTCTCCTTTATCAATATTTATTCTTCTGGTGGAACTGTTCCATCAAGTTTAATGGAAGCCACCTGATTTCAAATATCTGCGCACGTAGTTCAAATCTACAGGCATAACAGTAAGGCACCATTTGTTTTACAAGCTGTACTTTACTCTTCCAACAGAAGAGGGTACTCTTGAACCAAGAAACATTGCCTTCCTAAAGTAATGTCATTTTTAGTCCTTTTTAGCCCCCAAATTCTATACATTTCAGAATGAACAGAAAAAGTTGTCCAAAAACATGCAAAACTACTATAAGAAGAAAATAGTGAAAATCAAAACTTTTCAGTTCATAAAAATGTTCCCCAAAGAATCAACCATGAGCCAAAAAAAAAAAAAAAAAAAAAAAAAAAAGCTACAACATTTTACTTTATGAGTTAAATACCACTTAAAAAGCACTGTGGGGACACCTGGGTGGCTCAGGTAGTTAAGCATCTGCTCATGATTTCAGTTCAGGTGATGATCTCACGGTTGTGAGATTGAGCCCCTCTGTGCCTAGCAGAATCTCTTTCTCTCTGTTGCATTTACAACTTGACTGAACAGGAAATTCTTTAATCCTATATTTTTCCCTAAAATGTGTAGACTAGGTTTTAAACCTAGAAATTTAACACAACATGAATGTTTGAGGAGCCTCTGATTATTTATCCTTTATAAGTGAACGTGTTCTTTTTTGCCCAAATGTTAACAGAATTATTTTCTCAGCCTTTTATTTTTACAGTTTCTTAGCAAGTCTATTTTTTGCTTACTTTTCTTGGAAATCAATCCATGTAATCAGGTGACTATTCAAGGTAAGAGAGTTTTCTTTAATTTTGTCTTGATTATTAATTTCATGCCAATTAATATGCTTGCTTTCTCAGAAATACCTAACTCTTAGGTTTATTTTCTGTTCTCTGTAGCTATGAATTTCCCTTTTATTATTTCCTACATATTCTAAAACAAACACTGAAATACACCCTATTCATCACTAATTAAATTTTCCAGTACATCAGTTTTGCTTCTTTACTGCCTCTAAATTCTATTTAAATTCTGCTACTGTATTTCTAGTTCCCTGGCAGTCTTTTAATATTTCATCCAGTTTTTTCACACCTTGTCACAATTTATCTACCGTTTATCTTCATAGATTTCTTCTCCAATTCCACAAATGTCCTGCCTTCTTCAAACCTGTCAATCATCCCAAAAAGTTTTCTAAAGTTCTCTTCAAGTTCTTGCCACAAATCATTTTCTGAAGCTTCAGGTCTTTTTTTTTTTTTTTTTTTTTTTTTTTTTTTTGCATGTTTTTTTTTTTTTTTACTGAGCACAAATTTTTTTTTAAGATTTTTATTTATTTATTTGACAGAGAGAGATCACAAGCAGGCAAAGAGGCCAGCAGAGAGAGAGGAAGGGAAACAGGCTCCCTGCTGAGCAGAGAGCCCGATGCAGGGCTCGATCCCAGGACCCCGGGATCATGACCTGAGCCGAAGGCAGAGGCTTAAACCACTGAGCCCCCAGGCACCCCGTGGGCACAAATTTTTTTAAAGCTCTATATGTTCTCCTCATTTACATAACCTCGGATCTGGGATGATCTATTCAAAACCTATATGTGTCAACAAAAGGTATGTGGGTTTCCACCAGATCCCCTGTTGTGCATTTGGTTGCTTCTCAAGTCCTTTCACCCAACCGTGGCTAAAACATTATTTGATGCATATGATAGATGACATTATTTAGAAGGGAAACAGTGTATGAGAATATGAGAATTTTTAAATTAAATGTTAAGCATATAGAATACATTGGTAGGAGGTGTGTCTCTTAAATAAAATCTTGTGTTTTATATATTGAGTAAAAAAAAAGGTATAATACAGTAGATTTGGGAAAACAAGAACACAACATGAGTAATGTGAATGAAGAACACGTTTGATGTTGGCATTCAACTACGGAGCAAGGAAACCCAATGAGACACCACACAGTTTCCTCACCCATCATCCCAATCATGGGGCCTCCACCTAAGGTTAATGATACTGTAATAAAAAAAAAAAAAAAGGCCACACATCCAAATGCAAAAGATAAACAGCAATCAGGGATGAAGCAACATATGTTCTGGCTTGCTCCAGCTCAAGAAGAAACTGGGGAGGAGTCTGAGGGGGAAAGATGCATGAGATAATGTATGAAATCATAAGGAGGGCTGAAGTCGAAATAAAATAGAATGTACAAATCCTGTGACCTGGAGAGCACTAGAGAGCCTATTGAGTACGACATGTTAGTGGTTCTCTTCCCGGAATGCTTGTACTCAGAGTAAATGAATCAGTTGTTTTGGACTCTACATTGCCTCATTTGTCTTACCTGTCAACCTTGCTGGGTGGAGGGAATCATGAATTAGAAATGGAGGAGCTCACTTCCCAGATTTGAATGCTCTGGCTGGTTTTCTAGCACTTATAGAACATGCATGGACTTGCATGTTCTCTGTGCCTCTGGCTGCCATATTAAAAGGTCAGTCTCACTGGTAAGGAATGAAGAGTCAAGAGCTCCTAAATTTGAGCATAATTCCCAGTTTCTCTTAGGCTTCCATCTACTGTATTCCATAGAACTAAGTTAGAATCCGGTCTTCCCTGTATGGTCAGACTCTCTGACACTTCAAAGAGAGGGACAAATGAAGTATACGAACCCAACAACATTGCCACCAGCATTCTTTCTGTCCTTGTCCCACCAAAAATACTCTCCTTGTGAAGTCTAAACTGCCCAAGGTAGAAAATGCCAATACCTTCTCTTCACTTTCCTGTGCGTTGTATTGGGGGAGTATCAATCAGTCTTCAAATGGCAGCAAAAAGAAAAAAACTGACAAGAAAGACAGAGGCTAAAAGACCACAGCAAGGACAAAGGAGAGAGATGGCTGTCTGGAATTTAAGCTGGCAAGGCTCTTATGTTTCTGAACCCCAGTGAAGCCAGTAATGGGAGGGAACAAAGCTGACTGACACAGGGGTGGCACTATACAGGGAACCACTTGTTGAGGATTTCCTTCCAGCTCTTAACTTGTAGTCAGTAGAAACGTCTTCCAAGTTTGATGATCCACTGGATATCACTCCTAGATTTTAGAATCATTGCAAGCTTTCATCTTTTGTATATGCCTTCATATATAATTATGGTAGAAAGTTAAGAAAGATTTTCTGGCACAAGATATATCTTTCCAACATAATTGAGATGAATGGTTAGTTTTATAGAGTATGTATTTCTATATTTGGGGATGAAAAAAATTAAAGCTAGGTTTAGGTCACTAAAAAAGTCGATTGGCACATAAAATAATGTACACATTTTAACTGACAAAAGTGTTTTATTTACTAAGAAGAAACATTTTAATCAATTGAAGATTAGTAAGTTTACTGGTTCACAGAATCTCACTCTCACTCTCATTTTTGTAAGGAGATACACTTTCCCTTTGTGATTAAAATTCCGAGAGAGCCCCATACAATGAGAAGATGTGTTTATCAAGGAAAAGAATAAGAACATAGCAATGCCAGACAATGCCAAACCTTCACAAAGGTCATAGTTATTGAGTTCAGCAATGACAGGTCAGGCATGGAATCTTCAAAATGTTAGCCCCAAAAAGAACCACAGAAGTGACTACATATTTTATTATCTGACATAACTTTGACCCATGGGACATGCCTTCTATGGAAAGGACTTGGAAGAGCCACCTCAAGCTGCCTCACATTATCAATGAGAAATTTTTTATACCACAAACAACCTTTGACAATGAGAAGCCTGTATGGGGAACATGGAACTTGTCCTTCACAGCACAAAGAAATCATTAATATAGAGGCAAACGGGGGGACTGGGGCCAGCATGACTTAACCAGCTGAACTTAACCTACCTTCTCTTGCAAAAACCCTTAACCAACACAGTGGCAACTGGGAGGAGGACGCTCATAGGGCAGGGCAGGGCAGGGAAACGGGGCCACGGCTAAGACCAGAAATTCACCTTGACAGAATGATTCTCCACATCCTTGAGTTAGGCATTGGTAATATAGTCATTCCAGAGTGTTCAGCTAAGGCAGAGATCAAGAATTCAGACAGACAACTAAGGTCCCAGTTCTAGAGTCTTAAACACTTAGGTATCTGGCTTTCAGTAGACTAGAGCTTGATATGAAGCCAACGGCCTTCCTGACAAAGATTTCCACATGCATCATGCCCAGACCCAGGCCAGCTCTCAGGACGTGACCCGGCATAAGGCCTCCAGGAGGAGATAAGTCCATGTGGCAGACTCCTGACAGAGGGGGTTAGGAAGCCAGCAGTCTACAGCGGGGGAGGGGGGGGGGGGCAGCGCTCCCCTCCCCCACCTGACTTGTTGGGCATTTAAGGGTAACTACAGAGGCGAATTCTCTGAGGAAGGGGTAAAAAAGACACAGAGGATCGTGCTTCATGATGATGGCTTAGGAGACTCAATAAGGAAAGCTGAGACTAATTTTTAAATCCACTGCCGCTCCCCTAGGTCAATGTCAGATTCGCAAAACATGTCCTGACCTCCACAGAATGAGTGCTGGTCAGGGCAGGCTTCCATCCTTGAGCTCTCACTTAAATCCACCCCTAATGGGTGGATTTTCCCTCAGGTGAGAAGCATCTTACAGGGCATCCTCCATGCAATAGAAGAAGATGGGAGAGAAAGAGGCAGGGCGTCTTGGCCAGCAGTGACCCCTGGTTTTAACTACCATAGAAATAGAGCTGAGTTCCCAAAACACATTCCATTTAAACATTTCCTCCTGTTGCCCATGTTAAAGTGGTTTCTGAATTTATCCTCCCCTAGAAGTGATCTAATGACTTGAACTTCCAGGATTCCTTTATATGGAGGTAGGGAACTTAAAGTCAGTACATTACACATTCCATTACACTGACCTTCAAGGTCACAGAGGGTGAATTATATGCTTGAAAGCTTAGTGTGGTAAAAGGTTAGGGAGGGAGCCAGAGACTTTGATAGTAATGGACGTAGATGAAAGTCAGCTACAGGGTGAGAGGAGGATCAGGACAAGCTCAGGCCAGTGGCAGGAGGAAGGGGGCATGGAGCTGTGACAGAATTCGATCAGCTTTAGATATCAGCAAGAACACAAATTCCCATGTTATGCCAGCGGGAGACCATTCTGCCACTTTCTTCCAGCTCCCGGGTACTAGACAGTGTGCTCCTTTCAGGGAGAGCAGACCCTGCCATAGAATAGAATAGTTTGGGTTTTGTTGTGTCTGATGAAAAAGAGAAAAGGGTGATCGGCAGTAAACGTCACCCAGGAAGGTATGGACCTTCCTGTGCCAACAGCCCCACTGGCAGCAACTGCCTGGGTGCCATTTTCATTCACCTCCACAAAGGTTTTATGGAAAACTTTTGAAAGGTACAAATTGGGACTTGGAGAGATTCCAGTAAGATCAGCCTTCCCTTCCTCAAAGATATCCGTGATGCCCATGTCCTGTAGAATAGAATTGAGATCATAGCTGTCTTCCAGGGTGAACTGCGGGAAGGAGACGTCTACTGTTTCTTCTGACATATTCTCTGAGCTGCTCCAGGTCACTATTTTTTCATGAGTGATGTTCCTTTCAAGCTACAAAAGGAAGGAAATAACATTTAAGGTCATATTATGAACCAGCAAAGGATGCCCCAATTACTTCAAAAGGCTTGAGTATATTTCAACAGCCAGTAACAATCTTCAAGGTCCTTCCCTAAGCCTCAACCTACTCTGATCTCATTTAAATCCCTCCAAGCAATTCTCTTGAGTCTTTAGAAGTCACAGGACAATCTGAGTTCTGGTATCCTCTGGTATCTGACAGACTGGTGTCTGCGTGTCAAAGCCCAGCAAAGCTCCGTTGACCAAATTGAGTGAGCTTGGCCACGCCTTAACATTCTGAGGTTCAATTCCCTCTTCTATAAAATGGAGATAATACCATTAGGCTCTTGAGGGATTAAACAAAATGATGTATGTAGAGTAATTAACATAGTGCTGGCACACGATACATTTTGAATCATGGCTATTGTTGTGATCGCTATCCAGGTATTTCTCTCTCCCTCTGTCTCCATCTCTTCACTGCACAGAACAGCACAGCGCCGAGGCTCCCCAGCCTTCACTGATCCCCAGCTCACAACCACTTTACCCCAGCACCAGATCTCCACCCTATCAAGGCACTTGCACCCAAAAACAGAGTTCAGCTAACAGCTCCGTTCCATGAGCCATAGCAGAAGAGTCCAAGCAAGAGGCCAGAAGTCAGGCTATCGAGCATTTGCAGCAAGTCTCACATCACTCCATGTCCAGATCCCTCGGTCTGGAGAACCACCGCAGAGAGCTGTGAGATGGGAGAGGAAAGCCCTATCCAACGCTTTTGGCATCCGTCCTTTTCTAAACCAATGAGGACGAACTCTCTCATTGAATTCAGATTCTTACATATTCTCTGATATCTCTGGTAACTGAGGTGCCATCCTTCCTCAGGCTGGTAGATGGTTAATAGGGCTGCTCTCCAAAGATTGACAGTGAAGTATTTTGTAGAGACAACGAAGACTTACCTCTTCCAGGCCCTTCACATTATCTGCAGAGCAGGAAGGCAGCAGGATGAACATGCTGAGTGCCCCCTTGGTATACCTCATTTCAAGGATCTGTGCCTTCAACTCCTCTATGAAGCCGATTCGAAACAGGTCCTTTTGGTTCATCATCTTCACAGTCCTCTTTTCATTCTGCAGTGGACAAGATAGAAAGTCATGGGACAGTCACGGGAAGCTTGCGCACCCCCATGGCCTTCATCTCTCCTGAAAACGGGGCTCCACTAAGATAAGAAGCATCTTCACCAGAAGCTCTGAGCCACACCAGTGACCCAACCCATGAGTCTTCTGCCCACTGATCAGCCAACCCGTCCTTGCCAACACCTTATTTTCCCTTGGTTTTCATAGGTTCTTCAGCTCCCAAGACAACTCGTTGGTAAACTATCTATCCAGGCTCTCCCTGCAGCCTAGCCAAGGGATATATCCCCACCAGCTTCTTACCTTCAGTGTCTGCACCACCCAGTCTGTTGGCCTCACCTCATCTCCTGACCCCTTGCCTTCGCTGGTCTGGAGCTTTGGTTAAATGATAATTATCTACATATTGAATCACAGTACTTCTTCCAAAGGTTTCCATCAGATCAAAGGCCACCACCCCAGACACCTCATGTTTCTGAGAGGTCATCAATCAACAGATGAGATGCACAGTGCTTGCGAGAGGAACACAGCTGACAGGTGGTGGGCTGGGATCCCAACCTTCCCTTTTCTCCATTCTACAGTTCGGTGGCTTAGAACATGAGTTTTTGAGATAAATACTCACAGATGTGAATGCTAATGCACGAATTTAGCCATGTAACCTAACCTTTGCATTCTTTCCCCTCAACTCCTAAATGGGAATAATAACATCCATTTCCATAATGATATTTTAGGGAACAAGTGAAATAATGAATGGAAAATGCTCAGGGTGGTGCCTGGCACCAAGTGGTCAACAAACTTCCGATACTGATTTTTCTAATAACAAAATATTCTTATTATATTGTATGCTGTAACCCAGAGACCTAAGTTTTAGAGTTGAGTACACATACTCTAAATCATACTTCTTAGTGGAAATTATGAGAGCAATACCTAGAAAACCATGTACTATAATATCATACCTCATTTAGAGAGAAAGGGGCATCAACTGTGTTTTTAGGGTCAAAATATTTTTCCCATTTGGCCTTGAAGTAAACAGCATTCACCAACACCAGCACCGTCGCACTGTCAATTGCATCCTTGTTGAAGAGTTCCTTGATCTTACCTTTAAAAATGTTTCAGAGAATATCCTGAATGAGAATTGTACCAGAAGTATTCAGGTAGACAGATTTTCCTGAAGGCTGCTTCCCATCCCCAAGGCTAGGGCATGTCTGATTCAAGAACTAACCTAAGAAAATGACGCCACTCACAGTACAGTCCTGGATGTAGTGGAGGTGATGGGGTATATCGTGGGGGAGACACACTGTCTCTCAACCCCAAGAAGGTCCCATTCTAAAGCCCTGAAACTGAGGGGATTTCCTTCCATTCCGAGTCATTGTGGTTGGAAATTGCCATGAGACATCCTATGCCATGATTTACTTCTCTTTTTTTTTAATTAAGTTCAATTAGCCAACATATAGTACATCATTAGTTTTTGATGTGGTGTTCAATGATTCATTAGTTCTGAGTAATACCCAGTGCTCATCACATCCTGTGCCCTCTTTAAAACCCATCACTAGGTTACCCTTCTCACCTCCATGATTTGCCTTTCAAAGTAGACCCTGCCACATGATTATATTTATAACCTCCTTGAGAAACAGGACTATTGGGTAAACTTCCTATCTCAAGTGCTCATCACAGCAAACTGTATATGCTTACATATGAACAAAAATGCATATAAATATTCTAGGCCAGGTCGGTAGGGGCTTTCACATGCCCCCTCTCATGCCATCACATGTCAATTATGAGAAGTAGGTATTGTTTTCCCTTCTTAGAGAGGAATACACCACAGCTAGTGAGAGGTAAGGCCACACAGCCAAAAATCAGCAAGGCTGGCTGAGATCAGTCCTGGGGCCTTCCCGCTCTTGGTCCAGCTCTGAGGCTCCTTGCACCATAACACAGCCCTGAGCCAGACTGGAAAATCCCACGTGGTGAGGCAATCATCCATTTGCGGTACGCATTCTTTTCCATGCAAAATACCAAACCATTGGTTATCTGAATACATGCCTAGTCCTTAAAGATGAGTAGAGCTTTCTATAGCAAGACTTCTACTTAAACTCCATAATAAAAGACTATTTGACATCACCTACACTTAAAATACTGCCAGAGAGTAAACTAGTGCCTTAGTATACATTTTTTTAGTGAACATGCTTTCTTCTTGTCAACTGAGTGGAACCTTGAAGAAATGGGCATTTTTGCAGCATATGGACCAAGTTAGGAGAAATAATTTTGGAATTTGGGTGCTTCTCCCAGGACAAGGCCAGACAGGGGAGTTCCATATTAAAAAATTATTCCATTTTATGTTGAATTCTAAATTTCACTACTCATCACGATCTCTAACCCTTCATCCAGAAAACACCTATGTACCTAGTGAAACGTTGATAACAATTGGATTTAATTATTTCCATTTCCTTCTGAATAACTAGATTCTCTTTGCAACATTTCTACTGACCCTTTTTTAAAAAATAGAAACAGCTGGGACACGTGGGTGGCTCAGTCAGTTAAGCGTCTGCGCTCGGCCCACATCGTGATCCCGGGGCCCTGGGATTGAGTACTGCATTGCACTCCTTGTTCAGAAAGGAGCCCACTTCTCCCTCTGCCTGCCACTCCCCTGCTTGTGCTCTCTCTCTCTCTGGCAAATAAATAAATGAAATCTTAAAAAACCTGAAAATAGCACCCCACTGGCATGTGCTTGGCTGAACGGATTTCCCCTTTTATGAGGGAGCAAAGGAGAAACACAGCATCTAAGCGTGTAACTGTTTGCACCTGCAAAACAGGCTTTGAACACGGCCCATGCATGTGAGACTTGCAATCTGAGACACCAGGCTGGCTTTTCTCCTTTTAAATGGAAAAGAAGACTAGCTACAACGTGTTTGGTCTTTCTTACCTTGGGACTGAGATTCAACCCAAAAGTTAATCTGTTGTCTGGACTTCTCGGAGTCCTTCTGGAAATCAACACTTTCAATGGTCGTGTGGTAAAATTGAATCACACCATCTAAGTATTCCTGTTAAATTGGAATAAAGAGAAATAATACAGTGAAATCAGATAACCGTGCTAATAGGTATGAGGCAGTCAGGAGAAGCCTAATGAGAGAGATGGTCATTTAAATGGGACGCACGTGGTCTCTATCTATCCCTCACTCTTAATTAGCCACAGGCCTTTCATTCATCATGGTGACAATTCAGCATATAGAATGCTTGTTCATGGGATTTTTGGGTGACTCAGTTGGCTAAACCTTCGATTCTTGGTTTCAGCTCGAGTCCCACGTCCATCTCTGCGCTCAGTGCAAAGTCTAATTGAGATTCTTTCCCCTCCCTCTCCTTCTCTCTCTGTACCTCCCCCTGCATGCACTCTCTCTCTCTTTTTCTCTCTAAAAATAAATAAATAAAATATTTTTAAAAAAGAAAAACGAATGTCTATTCATGAAGCAGTCTACAGTTATAAGGGCACAAGCTGTTCCTACCAGATATCCTTGAACGTCCCATTTGTGGAGACCCTCTAACATCAGTATGAAGTTCCTTGAGAGATTTAGCTGCAAAATGCCTCTATTTTTAAGAATTAAAGCCCTACTTTCATCCGGAGCGATGAAAATGTTTTGGAAATTGGGTGATGTTTGCACAACATTGTGAATGTGATCAAGGCTAACAAACTGTTTACTTAAAACTGGTTAAAATAGCCATTTTTTACATTATATGTTACCACAATTACAGGATAATATACCCAAATGACTGGTGTGTACAATTTTAATAGGTGAATTGTATGATATATGAATTTATACCTCAATAAAGCCAGTTCAAAAAAAAAAAAAAGACAACATCTAAAATCTCATTCTCATTGTTGAGAGAACATACTTCTTTTGGCCAAAGGAGGCTAAGCCCACCCCCTAGACCAGCCTGACCACCTGCATCACACATTTGCCTATGGTCACACCCCTCATGCCCATTGCTAAGTATGTGGCTCCTTGCAACGGTGAGAGAGGAACCTGATGGGTCTTGCTGTAGGTACACGTTGCTTAGCCACAGGGAGGAGCCCGACGCCCTTTGGCTCCAAACGCAGTCTCCTTCTGCTATACCACGGTGCTTCTGACTACAATTCTATTGAGGGGTAACCTCACGGTGGCATGAAAGGGGATTTTAAAGGTGGTGGGGGAAGGGTGGGGAGGGACAGGAAGAAGAACTACCAAGTGCATCTACCAGGCACCTTTACTGGGAAAGACAGTCCCAACAGAGAAAGTCATTACCAAACCCACATGTGCTCCAAAGTTATTAGGGTCACACGACCCCCTTTCACCCACAACAGGCCTCTTAAACTGCTCAAGTTGAAAACTGGCAGAACCAGGGCAACCAACAGTGTGGGAGAGAAATAGGTGGGCCCCAGGGAACCCCAGTCCACAGTACATCACAGTACATGTCAGACAGGATTGTGGTCCAGGTGCCAGGTGAGTAATCCAGCTACTCCCTGATTTTTACACGTATGCCATACAATAGTTTTAATCACCAGCCATGCCGAACTCACCGGACGGATCTGGAATTCCTGCTCTCCGTAAAGCCTATTGGCAATACTTAGGGTGTAATCAACTCGGATCCTGTCTATCTTGGAGAGAAGCTTCCCAAAGTAGCAACTGAGCAGTCCACTCTCATCATTGGAAGATTCAGCCTGACAAAAGATGAAAGAAAATGGGACCTGATCAGGAGAGCAAAAGGCCATCAGAGCACGTTGTCATTTCATGTTGTTGCCATGAGGGGGAGCAAGCTGAGAAGAAGAGAGGAATGGAGGGCAGGAAGGGGCCCCAGGGGAAGATCACTACTCCCATTAGGTATCAAGGTCCTCCAGGAAGAGTACATCTGGGGACTCAGCAGTGCACACTGTTTTTTAGTTCAGCGCACCTCGTTTTCCTCCATATTCAAAAATACAGAAGAAAAAGACAATCTTCTCTCTACCCTCCTCTTAAACTTTCTAAGGCACAGGGATACATAACCTGGAGAATATCTTTCCCACTCCTGGTATGAGGCAACCAATAAAAGTATATTTCCCCATGAAATAGATAAGGAGAGGTAGAGAAAGAGAGTAAGACTCCCCCAGCTGATTCCTGCCCCTTACTGCCCTTCATCCTCCACCATGCTCCATCCTGGGGACCTGTGACCCGGAAAAGTCGGTGAGTTCTGGGGCTTTCCTGTAACTGCCTTTATCATGAGTAGAAGATACTCGATCCTATGCTTTAGGAAACTAGCTTACAGCCACCGACATATAAGATATATAATCAGAAAAGAATTGGAGGTCATATGGCATTCTTCCTACTGTTGTTGCTGCTAATGACGCCAGGACGTAACATCTGGGGATGAGTAACCATTGCCAAATACGGCGTAACCAGGATTGAGCAGTTCACAAGAAGAGGGGCAGGAGTTCATGGTGGCTCACCTGCAGGGTCAGAGGTTCCGTTGCTTCTTCCTGCGCCTCCAGATGGCTGTCAGCCCGCACCTCCTGGTTTTTGCTTTTCAGACAGGGATCGGGTTCTTTTCTTTCATTCTGGGAAAATTCATTGAAGTGTAGTACCTGCATGAGGACAGTGATGGGGTTTCTCAGACGATACGAACCAGGAAATATGAATAGCTTCAGAACCTTTTTATAGTGTGACAGGGACAATGCCTCCAGAGTCAACCCCGAAACAACAGCGCAAAGCGTGGCGGATGATCCTTTTGACTTGGTTGTGAGGAGGAATGGAAGGGAAGTGAACTGCATGCAACCCCCGGGGGTCTGCTCTTAAGAATGAATGTAACCAAACTAAAAGGATGTCCAGGTCTCCACGAGACACACATGGCTGTGGAACGGGTCAGACTGTTAGTGTAAAATGCTCACTGGATTTGTGAAGACTTAGTATGAAAAAATAATTAAAATATCTCATTTAAATTGCTTGATTACATGTTGATATGATATTTTGGGTATATTGGGTTAAATAAAATATTCTATTAAAATGAGTCTCACCGATTTTTTTTTTTTTACTTTCTTATGGCTGTTAAATTTTTTTAAATCACATGTGGGGTTTGAATTATATTTGTGTTAACACTGATCTAGACCTTTCAGTCAATGAAGCAAGTGAGGGCAGCGAAAGACAAGTCACCCAGAGCATTGCAGGAAAGATAGGAGACAAAGGCACATCTTGTGTTGCTCAGGACCGTTTTGCTGGGCACGTGAAACCCAAGTGCTTGGAGAAAGAACCTCTGACACCTGATGGGGAGGATGCCAATGACAGTCTAAAGCTAAGTTCTCCTAATGGGATACTGTTAATAGAAGTAAATGAATAAAGCAGAATAACTCCAAACACATTCTACCTTAATCCAAGAATTCAACTCCTCCATATTAGGGACAACAGACAGGTGCCCGCATAACCTCTGTGCTGTGTGCGAGATCCAGGGAAGTTATAAGACCAACCTCGGGAGCCTACAGATTATTTGGGAAGTTGTTCTTGTCACATTCATTCGTTCATTCTACAGATTTGTACTGGAAGCTGCTATTAGCCAAGCATGGTTCTAGGACAAAGATTCTTGCCATCTGGAGAATTATATTCTAGCCAGATAGGCACAGTAATGAGCTACTGTATGCATTATGTTGGAAGATGGAAAATGCCATGTCAGGGAAAAGAAGGGAGGGTAAGAAGTCATTTTATGGGGTGAGGAGTCAGGATGCAGCATTAGACTGAGAGGTGAAGGAAGGACTGGTTGAGAAGGTAAACTCTGATCAAAGTCCTGAAGGAGAAAGTAAGTTATAGATCAGTTATCTGGGGGGGAAAGCCATTAGGCAAAGGGGATGGAGCAAAGGCCCTAAGGCAGGAGTGGGCATGCTTACCCAAGGAACCTGGAGGCCAGCGTTTTTGGAGGAGTGGGGAGGGGACAGGGTGATAGGTTGATGGGAAGTCAGATACTAGATCTTCATGGGCCACCATAAGGACTCAGGCTTCTATCATTAGCTAACTTGGAAGTCCAGGTTTTGAAACGATGAGAAATAGGCTCTGCCTGAGGTTTTAAAGGATCTTTCTGGCAGCCATATTGAGAACAGACTGTCAGCAGAAGCAAGGAAGCCCATGAGGAAGCTGCATCCAGGTTAGAAAGGATGGTGGTGGGTCAGACTCAGGGACACAGCAGGAAGCACCTATGTTCGGGTTGTATATCAAGAGAAAAGCCTGTTGGAGTTAGATGTGAAGTGAGAAAGAGAGAAGTCAAGGAGGACACCAAGATCTTTTCCACTGGATACATAATTGGTGCTTACTAAATACTTATTTATGGAATGAAAGAACACATAGACACATAAGAAATATTGTTAGTGATATCAGTATGGATAATTATAGAGCAGAAAAGGAACAGACGTACAGGCAAACAGACAGACACACAGAGACAGAGAAGGTAACTGAGAAAAGTTATGAGCCTGGGGAGGCTGAAGAAGTGTCAGAAAGGAGGCAGAGGTTTCACTGAGCCTTGAAGAGAGAGCAAGGTGGGATGTAAATGAAAACTCCAGGGCAAATGCAGTCTCCCCCCAGGCCCCAGGCTCAGTGAGCATCATGGCTTGTGAAAGAAGGACTAGGGTCTGACTCTGAGGATGGACCCAGAGATACCGGAGCCACACCTGGTCGATCTGCTGTGCACTCTCGTTTCTGGCCCCCAGGCGGACCATGCCAAGGGCAGCTGAGAGGCTTAGAGGACAGAAGAAGATGTTTTTATGAGGATCATCTTTGCTTATCTCCTGGAAAAGATCAAAGCAAAATTTGGTGTTGGCTGCCACGAGAGAGTCCATCCTGAAATTGATGACAGTCTAAAACCAAACACAAAACAAAACAGAGAAAATATCATGGTCAGAGGAAGATAAATAAACAGTTCTCATTTTAAACACATGAGATATAAGCATATACAATGATTCCTCATGTTATTAAAAACTCAAAAAACTAAGGTCATCATCATCTTGGTATATAGATATTAATGTCCATATTGATATTGATACAGACACAGGTCTATTTTCATTTAGTGATATGATTTAGTTCCCTAGAGCTGCTGTAACAAATTATCACAAACTGGGTGGCTTAAACAAAAAGAATTTATTCTCCCTCAGTTTTGGAGACCAGATGTCCAAAATCAAGGTATTGGCAGGGTTGGTTCATTCTGGGGGCTGTCAAGGAGAATCTGTTTCTTGCCTCTCTCTCAACTTCTGGTGGTTTCCAGCAACTGTTGACATTCCTTGGTTTAGAGAGGCACCACAAGTCTCTGCCTCCATATGGTGTTCTTCCCTAATCTTCTGTGTGAGTCCACGTTTCCCCTTTCTTATAAGGACACCAGTCATTGGATTAGGGCCCACACTAATCCAGTATGACCTCATCTTAACTTGATTAAATCTGCAAAGACCCCATTTCCCAATAAGAGCACATTCACAGGTACCAAGGATTAGGTCTTAGACATGTCTAATTGTTTACCACAATTCTATTGTGGTAAAACTTCCTTTATTTAGGTAAAACAAAGTCACAAGCAATCGTGTCCTCATGGTCAAGTCTTCAACCAAGAAAACTATATCCCATCTCCTTCTTCAGAGGCTATACATGGTTCTGCTCAAGTCCTTTGCCAGCATTCTCCCCTCAACATCCTAGGACTGACAATACCCAGGAAATTGTCATGGGCCATGTATTTTGTCACCTTCTCACCTCCTTTGACTCATTCCACATGCAACCTGTAAGCCTTGAGGTGTCTCAGTCAGTCATTGATATTATTGTTCAAGAGATCATTGATCTTGAAAGATGTTGGGAGTTTAGAAGTCATTAGATTTAATACCTTCCGTTGACAGTGTAGAACCACAGTGATATGGAACCAAAATAAGGGAGTGATTCCTTCATGACAGATTCCTTGCCCCTCACCAATAATCTGTTCCAGAAGTATCAAGAAAATCAAGAAAATCTTACACAGATCTCACTTTGGACCATCCCAAAAGAAATGCCTTCTCTTTTGTCTTTTTGTCAATGGATATTGCATATTTTCCAAGATGGAAATGTAAGCCCCTTTATGTCTGTTTTTTATCATCAGACATGTGGTACATAGTAAAGCATTAAGAAATTATTATTGCACTGAATTGAACGTTGTACATTGCTTTTAGAATCTTTCCAGCTTAACACCGGCTTTTTTAGTCTATAAAACCTAACTCAAAAAAAAAAAAAAAAACATTAAATACCCATTTTTAAAAGTGCCAGACATATGTTTTACATATATTAGCTTTAACCCTACAACTTTACAGAGTAGATATTGTCATTCCCTTTCTACAAATGAGAAAAGAATCAAAGAATTGAACCACACATGTTGGCCTAACCTAAGTGCTCTTTCTGCTGTATCTATTGTTTCTCCTAAGTTGTCCTCAGTGTAGGACAGACTGGTCAAACACATGCCCACTATATATTGGTGTTCTCCCCTGTTCAGTTTAGAGTCCATTTTTACGCTTATATTTTTTTTCCTGCCAAACTTGTATGTGATTCATATTTCTCATTTTGTGCTGCTAAAACTGGGTTCAGATAGATGCTTTCCAAGAAACATATGTCCTGAGCTTGTCTGGAAATTCACTGTTTTAGACCTCAGGAGTCTACATTCTTTAGGTGGAAAATCCCTTCACATCCAACATGTTCTACCACAGTAGCTAGCATTACCACTTCAGTAACAAACTTACTAAGGAAGGAGAGAAATCAGATAAATTCAAGATGGTCTGAGTCAAGGGGATTTCACAGACTTGTGTTAAATCATAAAATTTGGATAAAAAGTAGTCTCATCTTTTTTAAAGTCTTGGTCATATAATCAAGGTTGCTATTAGATACAAATCTTTGGCACCAAAGGAAATGGTAGTGGATACTCTGGCTCTTTGTTCACTACTATAAAAGAAGGCTAGAGGCAAAATACTCAAGGCAAAGATGGGATTTGGATTGAAAATTGAATGATCCCAACCTGGCTCTTTAAATGTCCCAGCTATTTGCTCAACTTTAGCCTGTTTCTTTTTACGGATGTGCCCCTGGCATCAGAGGGAAGAGTGTTCCTTTCTGGTGTGACATGCACAGAACTGAGCAGCTGGAGTCTTACCTACTAAGGACATGATGGCTCATGCAGGCCAATTCCCTTCTTCCTGAGACTAAAAATCCTGAGGCCAGAAGCGGCAGTGACTTGCACACAGTCACATAGCTGGCCGGGAGAAGAACAAGACTCAGACCTCTCCATGCCCAGGCCTGCTCTCTCCTGGAACAGATTGCTTTCTGCCCATTTCTAATTCAGCTACTACCCTTATTCACTCTGGGAGCTGCAGTGTACCCCCACACTCTATCTGCCCATTGGCACCTAAAAAACAGGGAAACTACACTAAATTTTGTGAACGTTTCACACATTCCCTAACCTGGGTCCAGCTACTATCTTGTCCTCACCCAGCAACCGTTTATTTTCTGCGCCTCATCAGGTTCTACCCTGTGGATTGGTTCTAAGTTTCCATTAGAGTCTATGTAGCTTAACTCTGCCCACCTTCCGAGGGAGGGGTGAGAATGGTCCTCATGGGCAAACAGCCTAAAAGCTGTAGTTGGTGTTGGATGCCTGTATGTAAGCGTTTATTACGGGAGAATCTTTCCTGGTGTTCTATAAAACTCTAAAACATAGAAAAATGAGCATTTAGTAACTAGATTAAAAGGCCATCCAATAATTACCTTCTGAGGGCTGTTGTCGTTTTGTTTGTTTTTGAATTAGAAACTGGCTAAATCTGACAGTAACCTAATTACCCGATAACCATTTCGAAAATGATCCCATGAGGACAGTCACTGCACATAGTAGCACGAGCTGACTGAGACCCAGTTTTCGTCTCTGAGAAACCCACCATCTCATAGAGCAGGTACCTCAACAGAAGCAGCTCCCATGATCTGAGAGCATCGTGCAATCCCGTACTCATTTACAAAAGGAAATAGAAAAAGCAGGGGCGCCTGCGTGGGTCAGTTGATTGACCCTCCCACTCTTGGTTTTGGCTCAGGTCATGATCTCAGGGTCATGGGATGGTGCCCCATGTCAGGCTCTGTGTTCAGCAGGGAGCCTGCTTCAGATTCTCCACCCCCCCGCCCCTCCCCCAATTCATGTGCATGCTCAATCTCTCTCTCTCTCTCTCTCAAATAAATAAATAAAATCTTTTTAAAAAAGAAATAGAAAAAGCAGAAGAGTATACCATAAGAAAAAATTTTAAACAGTGCTCATCAAGACTTATTCTAGTATTCCTCTAGTAAAATTCAAGCAAGCAATTTAAAAATATCATGTTTTCAACATTTTAAAGCTACTTAACGCTGTTCTTATTCATTAGAGAGACACTCTGGTGGTCAGTAAAAGCCATGTTATGTTGTTACAACAGAAAATAAAGGAGGAAAATCTCTAAGGTCTGTTTCCTTGTCCTCATCAAAAATCCCTTTACATCGGTACTAATTTGAAAATAGTATGACCAAGCCAGTCTCCAGATCCACTGGATTTACATATGGGACCAACTTAGCAATAAATGGAAAGTAAAGATCTAATCATCATCATACTAAAATGTAACCATAACAGATATTTTTCAGAGGTGTGTAGCAAAATACCTTTCAGATTTTAAAAAGTGGTGTGTACAAATAAGTTCATAGAAACACTTTCATAATAGCCCAAACTCAGAAACAAACCAAATGTCCATAATCAGAAAGATAAATAAACAGCTTGTGGGTCAGGTATACAATGGAATACACAGCAGTATGTCTGAGTGAACTCTAGTGCCCCATAATAATGTGGATCTCATAAGCACATACTTGAGTGAAAGAAGATGAATGGGAAGAGTCCATAATAGTATAGTTACATAGAACTTCTCTATATATTTATTATGTATGTATATTTATACATAAATATACATAAATTTTATATGTATGGATGAAGTTTAATTTTAAAATGTACTCTAGATGTATTACTAAACATGGCAACAAATTTTAGAGCACTGAAAATTTATTTGTGTTTAACACAAGAACTAACATTAGAGGAAAATTTGAAGAATAACATCTCGAAATGAAATTCAGTCTCCAGATGCAATTAGGAGTTCCCCAAGCATTAACAATAGCTACTTAACATCCACTATGGAAAATATGCACTTCACAAAGAAGTTACTGTTTGGCGAAGTCTGAGTCTAAAGGTGGATTGCTGAGGTAAGCTGCTTCTTAATAAGCTACAACTTGAAACACTTGTACATAATTTACTTCAGTCATCATTATTTCCAAACAGACTTGAAATAATCTTTAAAATAGCAAGGTCCCTCAAAACTATCCAGCTCAAAGAATTAGCATTACCCCACCTATAATGACTTTATAATAGCTCCCATTTAATTTGCCTACCATGTGCCTGGCATTTCACAAATGTTGTCTCTAATTCTCAAACAATCCGTAAATCAGAAATTATCTTCATTTTTGTTGACCAGTTGTATCAACAAATCCGTCAGTTTGGTCACCCTCTTTCCTTCTACATCATGCTGCCATCTTGGGCAGATGGCATTTGTGTTCTGCAAGACCATGGCTCTAGTAACCCACCACACAGCTTCATGACAAGAAGATGTATGTATAATAAATAAGAAACTAATAAGGCAAATACTGATTAAAAAATAATAAAACATGTATTATTGGTTTCACTGGTGTATCTGACCAATGGCCACCTGATGGCACTAAGTGTCCATCAGTACTACTCTGGACCACCTCATTGCCCAGGGGCACCTCCAGTCCCAGGTTGTTCTTCCAAGACTCCTCTGATCTGCTGAGGGGCTTG